CTGGAAACCACAGCGCTCGCCCTGGCCACCAGCTCCTGCTGCTCCTGCTGCTCCTGCTCCCTGCAGCCTGCTCCAGCCTTCCTCAGCACAGCCAGGGTCATGGAGCACCAGCTCCTGCTCCCTGCAGCCTGCTCCAGCCTTCCTCAGCATGGCCAGGGTCATGGATCCACCTGCTCCTGCTGCTCCTGCTGCTCCTGCTGCTCCTGCTCCCTGCAGCCTGCTCCAGCCTTCCTCAGCACAGCCAGGGTCATGGAGCCACCAGCTCCTGCTACTCCTGTTCCCTGCAGCCTTCTCCCAGCCTTCCTCAGCACAGCCAGGGTCATGGGGCCACCAGCTCCAAGGGTCACAGAGGGGTTGTGGGAAGATTGTGGGACCTTTCTCTCCCTGCAGGCTCCTGTGCACCCATGCATGGACAGTGGCTCCCCCAGTGCAGGGTTTTCCAGCAGTTTGAGCTCTTGGGATGTTGGCTGATGTTCTGGGAGCTGTGGTTTGTGCAAGGCAGGCAGCACCCCGGTATCCTCCATGGGGAGCACAGCACCACTTGAAGTCACATCCCCAAAGGAAATTTAACAGTATATAAAATTAACATTTTTCACTATTGGAAGGGGCAGTAGAGTTAAACTGCTTTATTTTAGTTCTGAATTGTCTTCTACCAGAAAATTAATTAAAGTCATTCCCATCTATAAAAGCAGCAGTGGAGCCTAGCACTGGTGGGATGTTGGGATCCTCAGCAGCTCCCAGGCAGTGTGGTGTGACCACCTCTGCTTTTAATAGCTGTATTCACTTGTAGCAAAGAATACTTTTCACAGGTTACAAAACATCCTCCTTTTTTTTCATTTGCTTCTTTTCCTAAACTGATCCAAGCAGGAAAAAAAAAATCTTTTTTTTTTTTTTTCTAGAATATTTTCAGAGTTAAAAACTCAAAGAGTTTTACCAGCCATTTTTTACCAGGAAATTTTTTAGTTTGATCATATCACTCAAATTTTGACTTTTGGCCTTCTGTGCTACAGTTTTCTAAGGTTAGCTTTAAAGTTTAACAGAAAAATCATCCATCAAACCAGCAAAGTAAAACTACTCATTTTTAGCATGTCATGACTAAATAGATAAGTCTTTAAAACATTAATTAAAATACTTGCTAACACAAGGTGCTTTCCAGAAAATGTTGATTATAATCTCATACCATTCTCTAGTCAAAACCCCACATTTTGATTAAAATCATTTATAGTTCTGATCAAGCAGCAGCATCCCAGCAGCTTGTATGACCCCACTGCTTCCTGTGGCCAGAGCGTGTGTGATGGAGAATGGGAGCAAAGGCAATGGATGCTGAGCCTGATGAGGCTCCTTGGAGCCCAAATACACTGAAACTCCAGTGGTGAGGGTGATCCTCATATGCAGGATCCACTGGGTTTGCATGTGCTCAGAGGACAGAGAGTTTTCTGTCTGGCCTTCAGATCCCATCACAATCACACACCCAGGCTTCTCTGTGGGATTCTTCTCTTCTCACACCCATCTCTGACTGGGGAAATCTAATTTTGCCTTGCCAACAATTAATCTTTCTTAATAATTAATGCTACTGTCTTTTCTTTTTGCTCCTCCAATTACCTCTAGTTATTAAACACATCTTGGCTTCAAGGAGGGATCTTCTTCCCTCAGTAGCATTGGGTTTTTCAGTCATTTTCAGGGGGGTTGATAGAATGGTTGGTGCTGGGAGGGGATGCACTGCAGCATACAGGGGAGGAGGGGACAGTGCTCACATGGGAGCTGGGCACTCAGCAGAGCTGCAATTTAGCAAATTTGAGAGAGGGGGAAAAGGCCTTCAGGGTTGCAAACCCCATCCTGTGCTCCATCCCCTCTGGAAATGCCATTCTGCAGTTGCTGTAAATGTGTTCCCTCATTTCTGCACGAGGTTGTGGCTGCACAGCTCGTTCCCCAGTCTGTCCTCAAGGGGCTGTGCTGGAAGAAGTGAGGCAAAGCTGTCCTTGGAGCCCCTTCAGGTCCCCCCATGGCTGCTGAAGGACAGGAGGTGACGCATTGATGTTGGGGCCATGATGTTTGGCACCAGCAGTGTTATTTTTGGTGGTTGGGTAGTGAGCAGCTCTGTCACTGCAGCTCTGGGCTGTGTTGAAACCCAGGAGACAAAATGAGATGCTTTACCAAACCACAGCACAGCCCCTGTGATGTCCTGAGCAGCAGCACCCACTGTCCTCCCAGGGGACCTTCTGAGGGAACACCAAACCACTGCCCTGTGTCAATTCAATCCTCCTGGGAGAAAACATTTACATCAGGGCAACTTTATGGCATAAAACATTGTCAGTTGCTAAGTCCTGGCTTTGAAAAGCCTCTTCAAGGTTCATGTGCTGCAGCTGATTTGCAGGAGCACAATCTAGGCCTTGCAAAAAACAGGGAATTGATCCCGTTTCTCTGGGATATGGATTTCTGTAAGCCAGGTATGGTTTCACAGTGCAGCTGGGGAAGACCAGGAGCTGCAGTCATGGCCATGGGCCACAACCATTGGCAGCTGCAGTCTTTGAACCAGGATCAACATGGAGTTTTTCTCTATTTCTCCATATTTTTGTGCAGCATTTCCTTCTTCCCTTAATTTTGGGAGATGGGGTCCTGTAACAAACTCCCTAATGGAGGAAGTGGATAGGGGGATAAATAGCCCTTTGCAGAAATTTTTTGTCTCCTTGCTGGCCATCCTTTCCCTCCAGATCTTTATGGCTTTAGGGAGTAGAGAAGTTTTTGAATGAGGCAAGGCCAATGTAGAAGGGTCATGGGGAAGCTCTCCTTACTGGGGCAGCATGTTGTTTTCCATCTGAACTGATGGAAAAACTGAGTAATTGAGCTGCAAGTCTTGTTGTACCACCAGGTTACTACTGAACCATTGAATCTCAGAATGGTTTGGATTGGAAGAGACCTTAAAAATCATCTCCTTCCAATCCCCTGTCTCCTGCCATTGCTCTGAAAGTTGTTCACAGTCATCAGGCAGTGAGGCTGGCTGCTGAATGGTGCTGTGCTTGGATCAAGCATGAGGCAAATGGGAAAGAAAGATCTGCCCTACTTTGAACAGAAGTGCTTGAGTTGAGGTTTTCAAAACAGCTCAACATTGAGCTTGTTCTGCTCCAGTGTCATGTTAGAATGTACACGTAGAATTGCATATCCCTCATTTAGGCTTTGTGGCTCTTAAATAAGCTAAACCATAGCTAATTTTAGAAATATCACTGAAAAGCTCTTCTTCATCTCATTTCATGGCTGAGAATAGAAAGAGCTCAGAGCTCCAAACATGTGTTTAACTAAGCAGGAACCAGCCCAGTGCTGGTCTGAGTGGGAAAACCACATAACCCATGGCCCTGCTGCAGGACAGGAATGTGCCACACCAGTTTGTGCTGGAAAGGGGGATTACATTCCCAGTACTCCACTGTGTGCAGTAAATCTACACCTGTTAAGCACCAGGAATTAGGGTTTTCATTCATTCTCAAATGCAAACCTGCGTGCCTCTTGGTTTTTATTTGCATGAGCAAACCTTTGTGGGAAAGGCAGATGTAAAGCAGCGTCTCCATCAGTCTGTTTTCTTTTCCGCTTCACGGGTTTCCTCCTCAGAGCAGGGATGCAAAACACAGGACTTGCCCAGGGCTCCCAGTTCACTTGGAGCAGCCAGGATGGGCCCAGGACAGGTTGATCAGAGCCACTGTGTGTTTCTGTGCCTCCCTCACCAAAGCCAGCCAGAGCTTTGTGCTCATTCTGCCTGAGCAAAATCATTACCAAAATGGAAAGCATCAGTGAATTGAGTCCAGGGATCCTAAATGACTTGTCAAAAGTCACACAGCAAATCATCTGTAGATATTCTGATGAGACTGATGAAAACTGGCTGGCATGCCCAGCTCCTAGCCCCTGGAGAGCTGTCTGACCTGCTCCATTCCCAAACTGACCCTGTTCTGGAGTGTTGTTAGTCCTGGTTTCTTTTGTGGATTTATCTGGGACAAATCCTAACATTCCACCACCAAGATGAAGTCAGTTTGGATTTAAAGGCAGCCATGGGCGAAACTGGGCATGTAGGAAACAGCTCGAGACGCTCGAGGCGAGGAGGCTGCGTAGATGGCAGAGTGTGAGTGTGTGAGTGTCTGTGTGTGCTCCTTGCTGCTGTGCAGCTCTTCCAAACAGCTTCCCCTCTCTCTGCTCCAACACACAGGAGGACTTCCTGTTGTGTTCACCAAAAAGGGCATTTTCCAAGGTGTTGGGCTCTGACAGCCACGCTGCACATAACCAGGAGCAGCTACAAGAGGAGACAGATTTTTATTTGCTTACTTTTCCTGGATTTTTTGCATCTCCAGCATTACCTCAGCTCCCTCTGCTCCTTCTCCAGCACTGGAGCTCAGTCCAACAGGGATTTCAGCCCAAGGGCTAACTGGTGACCATGTCCTGTTTTCAAAGACATTACCCTTCGTGTTTAACGGTGGCCTTGGTAGTGCTGGATTAATGGCTGGACTTTATGATCTCTATAAAGTCTGTTCCAGCCTAAATGATTCTGTGATCCTGTGTCTGTCCTTGCATGACAGCCCTGATTAAGAAAGCTCAAACATGACTTTCACAGTGAATATGAAGGATTCACTGTGAAAGTCCAGATTTAGATCCTGTGGTAGTCCAGGACAGAGAACAAGAGCTTTGCATTGGGTAACTCGGAGCATTCATCCTGGAGTAAAAGATACTAGAATTGAATGGAAAAAAAAAGTTCTGAACTCTGAAAACTTCAAGCTGGTTTGATCTGTTTTCCACTTATCCAAGAAATCATCTCCAGCTGTTTTCCCTCCTTGGTTTATGGATTGGGTTTTGGGTTTTTTTGCAGGATGCTGCAGTGTTTGTTTAGTAATTTGTTTAGTGTTTGTGTAGTGTTTTTAGCTATTCCCAGCCTTGCTGCCAACATCAGGACTGCAGAGGGCACTGGCTGTCCTTGCTGGTGGATCCTGATGACTCCTGGGTCTTTCTGTGGTTGTGTCTTGCAGTCCAACAAAGTTCCCGTGGTGCAGCCGTCGCACGGAGTGCACCCGCTCACCCCGCTCATCCCCTACAGCAACGAGCACTTCAGCCACGGCTCCCACTCCCCCCACCTGCCTGCTGACATCAACCAGAAACAAGGTAAGGCCACCACTGGTACCTCTGTGCTGGGAGGGGGGCTCAGCTGGAGACCGCTGAGGCCGGCACCTTCCTGCTCCCAAATCAATGAGAAAAATCAGCACCTTTGGTCAGCTTAGCAGGAGGGGATTATTTTTAGTTTATTGGCAATGTTTGTGATCTGGCTGTGAGCAGTTTGATACCAAAAGTGCCAGCCCTGCTGATGGAGTGTGCTCAGTTCTCTGTACAAGCTGTCCTGCACCTTGAGACCACACCAGAGCCTGCACGATAATGCACAAGAGTCAACCAGAAAATGGAAAGTAATCTTTCCTTTGACTCATACCCAAACTGTTGTCTAGTTGTCATTTTGAGAAAATAAATACTTGAAACAGGAAATATTTTGACTAAATGGGATTGGTGTCTGATAGTTGACTGGACTGTGACATGTGTGTCCCCTTAGCCACATGTTATGTGGTTGTCACCGGGTTTGGCTTTTTGTGTTCCTGTATGAGCCCAGGCTGTGTCAACTGGCTCATGAGGCTATAGGGGAAAGTACAGTATGTTGAGGTTAAACCCTCTAAAATAAACTGTAAATACAAGTATGTGTTGAGGAATTCACCCCAGTCCATCATTCCATCATTCTTCATGGGTTCCTGGCAAACTGAGTGTAAAATCAAACTTCTCAACCTTACCTTAGTGCAGAACATCTGTTCAGATTACCCAGTTTTTTACACAAACCTGGGCTTGATTTCATGGGAAAGCAAAAAAACCTGACAGTTTTGTGTCAAACTGCATTCAGGAAGGAGGACAGTGCCAAAACAGAGGCACAAAACCAACTGTTGTGATTTGGGCAAAGGCCTCCACTCAGGAGTGATCCAAACGGTCCCAGAGGCATCAGCTTCACCAAATTAACATCACTGATAAAACAATGGGTTATTGAGGATGCTGTTGGCTGGAGGACACACTGAATAATCCCTGGTCTGAACCTAGAGGCCACATTCTGGACTCATCAGGGATGCTGATGGGTAGAATTTAGGTCTGGGGTAAGGGATACCCAGAGCACATCCTGGGTGTCTTCCAGGCAGGACACTGCTTGTCAGCCATCAGAGCATAATAAACTCAGCAGAAAACCAGAAAGAGTTAACAAAATTAACCTACTAAAAGCTCAGGTAATGAGTTGAGTCTGAGAGAAAGCGTGCAGGAAGTCAGCCCAACACACCTTTCCCCACGCTGCCTTTGCTGTGCCTGGCAGAGCTCTGCCCCTCCAGGAGCTGCCTCCTGGACTCACTGTCAGCCTGGGAAACCTTAAGTGGTACAAGAGCAGCTCACCCAAGGGCAGGGCTGCTTGTATCCCTCTGTGGAGGCTACAGCTGGCACTGGAGCAGTCCCTGAGCATTCAGCTCTGCAGTGGGTCAGTCATTCCAGGACACTGTCCTTGGGCTGCCCACCTGGCCCTCAGTGCAGGCACTGTCCAGTCTCCCCTTCCCATTTAGCCTGTACTTCTACAGACACAGGGAGTGTGTCCCAGAGACCCACCTTGTGCAATTCAAGGAAAGGTTCAGCCCATAATGCTCAGCTGGGTCCTGCCTTTGTGGTGCAGCTGTGATCACACATGCCCTATGCCTACACTGCTGGGGTGAGGGTTTTCTCCTGTGTTCATGGGGAAGTGCCTCATCTGTGTTTTCATCACTGAAACAGCTCCCACTATCACCCAGTGTAAGCACTTGAGAGGCACTCTCATACTCATTCTCCCAGCGTCCCTTTAAAGTTTCTCACAGTAGCCCAAGGACACACAGACCAGGAAATACAAGCAGGAATTCTGAGTCAGTGGCTGGTGGCCCAACCACTGGGCCAGCAAGAATAACTTGTGCTCTGGCTTATGCAACTCCTATTGTTGGGGGTGCAGATCTGAGGATGTTCCATCAGCTGCCTTGGGCAGGCCTGGTTTTGTTTGACCCTCCATGGGCCACTGAGTCCCACTTGAAGGAAATCTTGTACTCGGTTAAAGATTCCTGTCAGGTCAGCTATGTATTTATTTTAGCTGACTCCTAATAAAATGCAGTTGATATCATTCCTAATTAATAAGGTATCATTCAAACACCTAGGAGAAAAATCCAGTTGCAGCTGCTTGCAGCTCATCACCAATTTAGTCCATGTGTTTGTCATCCAGGATGGCCACTGGATAATCCCTGTTCCCAGTTTTTGTCTGAGGCTCAGTAGCAGCCATCACTACCCTGGGCTGCTGTCAGAGCTCAGCCCCAGCACCCTCCAGTTCCCAGTCCAGGGGTCAGCTGGGGCTGGTTTTGCCAGCAGCACTGTGGTTGTCTGAGTCCCACCCGCAGCCCCAGGCAGCACAGGATGTTTTCCAGCCCAGCTAGGAAGGGAGCAGTGCTGCAGCCCTGTCCCCTGGCCATGCTGCTGTGCCAGAGGCTTTGAAGATCACATAGGGATTCCCCATGCAAAGGGTGAATTCCCAGCTGGCACCATACCCACCTCCATAGCTCCTTGGCACTCACAGAGCTGCAGAACGATTGTTTTGAACTCAAATTGCTTAAAATTAAGTTGAAAGTGATGCCTGCTGGAACATCCCCACTGCCTGCTCACGGGAGGTCCTGCAGATGACTGATGGAGAGGGAGCACAGGAATGGCTTTGACCATCCCCTGAGCACCTGAGTGGGCTCTCTGGGGAAGGCAGAAGGATGCCTGGAGTCAGCCAAATCCTTACCAAAGCACGGTGCTCCTTGGCCTCAGGGTGGCATGGAGCACTGTGATGCTTGTGCAAGAGCAAGATGTCTCCTCCAGCCCCCCCTTATGTCTGTGATTTTGCAGCAATGTGGATGCCCCACCACATCCCCACAGAGAGAAGCACAGGGAACAGCACCCTGCCACTTGCAGATGGTTATTTCATGTGGCTGTCCTCAAGTGCCCAGAGATGGAGCAGCCAGGGGGTTGGGAGCAAGCTGGATCACCCAGGGAGTGCAGTGCCACGTTCAACTCCTCTCCTTCTGCCTTCTTGCAGGAGTGCACCGTCCTTCCCAGACCTCAGACATCCCTGGTTTCTACCCCCTGCCCCCCGGAGGAGTGGGGCAGATCACGCCGTCGATGGGATGGTGAGTGAGGGACGGCTCACTGAGCCACCCCACCTCTGCTGCTGCTCCCTGTGACCTCCACAGTGCCTCCCCCAGCTTCTCCCCTCCTGTGTGCTGTGTGAAGAGGGAGGAGAATCCAGCCCTGTCTGTCTTGGAGGTGGGAGCAGACCCATGGAGAGGCTGAAGGTTTCATCCTGGCTGAGGCATCCCTGGAGAGGGGTTACAACCTGCCCAATGTAAAACTGCCTCCTGCTTTACATCTGTCTGTGTGGATTAGGGAACCCAGAGAGAGCTTCCTACCCACCCCTCCTAATCACAGCACAAGTCTCTTTTTTGAGTAGGAGGTAATTTTCTCCCTCACTGGACTTCTCTGCACAAACAGTGCTTTCCCTGAGCACACCACCAGTGCAGAGTAATCCCGTGGGATGCTCCATCTGCCAGACCCTGGTGTTTCTTGGGATCTGACACACAGGGAAAGAGTACATCATGGCAGAGACCTGCCAGGAAGCAGCCCTGGTACCCACAGCCTGGCCAGCTGGTAACCACTGCCCCAGCTGGCATGGGAAAGGAGAGACCATGAGCTGGAGCACTCCCAAAATGTACCCCCTGCATGGGCCAGCCCTGCAGAGCATCCTGCAAAGCACAGCCTGCTGGTAAACCTGCCCTGGGGACACAAGTTAAAAATACACCAGTGTGTTCTCTGTGGTCATTGCCACTGGCTTTTGTCCCTGTGACCATGAGCACACTGAGAGAGCGGGTCTGGCAGGTGCTGCCATGTGGGCATCATCACCCCTCAGGTTAATATTTAATCCCTGCTGATGATGTAGGGACATGGCAGAGGCTGGCAGGGAGACTGGTGGCTGCAGGTGGCAATTCAGGGTTGCTGGGATGAGGAGAGGGTGCAGGGACAGTGGCCAGATTCCCCCAGTGCCAGTGGATAAAACCCTGGCAAAGCCCAGCAGAGAGCTTCAGGTACAAGAACCTATTGCAGAGTGGGAAAGGGGAAGCTTCTTAAAGCACAAAGTAAAATGTTAGCTTTTGCTTTGTTTTGTTTATGAATTTCATGTTCCAGATATTTAACCACAAGGAAACAGAGAATGAGGCCTTTGATACAGAATCTGGCTTCAAAGAGATTACATTTTGCCTTCTGTGCTAAATCTGCTACTCTTGGGTGATGATTTAACTCCTCATATGATGTGATTCATCCTCAGGAAAAACAAGGACTGGGGTGACTCTGCTGTAACGTGAAAGAAGCAGTTGGAAAGGGGAGAAAGGAGCCTGTTTGTCAAATGGAAAATCCACTCCTGGGTTAGGATGGTGCTGTTCAGACAGCCCTGGGCTCATGAAGGAAGAGCAGTCTGGGCTTTTGTGGAGCTTTTGTGGGGCAGTTGGTGGTAGAGAGAGAGCTTTCATGGCTGAGAGCTGCCCCAGCATCCATGGGGTTTGGCATCCTCATCAGATGTCTTCATTAATGGCTTCATTAATAGAGCAGATATGGTAAAGCAGCAAAGGGCCTGACACACAGAGAGCAGCACCTTGAGGCATGTGTGTCTAACAGAGTTTTGCTCACTCTTTTCCTTGCCTGAAATGTTTGGAAGAGCCCCAGCCCCACTCGTGGAGTGACCAGTCCTCAGCAGAGGCTCAGCACTGCTGTGGGTGGGTGCAGGAGCACTGAAGCCTGGCAGGTTCATGCAGCATCCAGGGGCTGTGTGCCAGGGATGGGTGTGCTGGGGATGGTCATGCCAGGGATGCATCCCAGAGAAGCTGTGGCTGCCCCATCCCTGGAAGTGTCCAAGGCCAGGTTGGATGGGATCTTGAGCAACCTGGGCTAGAGGAAAGTGTCCCTGCCCATGGCAGGGCATTGGAACTGGATGATCTTTAAGGTTCCTCCCAACCCAAACCATTACAGGATTCCATGGTTGTGCTGGTGCCACCAAGTCAGCTGCCAGGCCAGGGCAGCCACACATGGGAAGCAACTTTTCCTCCACAAGCTGGCAGGCAGGAGCTGGGCACAAACTGGTTTTGTTCTCACCGAGCGCTTCAGGAGGAGGAGCTGCAATCACTCTCTCTGTAATTAAGTTGGGATGACAGTCAGATAAAAGCTTCCAAGAGTCCAGTCAAGTGAGTTTTGCTTATGGGAGCCTGGCAGTAAACATTAGCCAGGAACCTGCAAATCGTGTCACTCACCTGTGCCCAGGGCCAAGCTCAGTGGTGCCAGGGCAGCCTCTCCTCCTCCATCCCTCAGCCCTTTACTGAGCCACCCTCCCATCACCAGCTGATCCTCTGCAGACTGGCTGAGAGAGCTGGGGTTGTTCAGCCTGGAGAAGTTTCCAGGGAGGCCTCAGAGCCCCTTCCTGTACCTAAAAGTAGCTTATAAAAAAGAGGGAGAGGACTTTTTATATGGGCAGATAGTGATAGGACAAGGGAGAACAGTTTTGAACTAAAAGAGGAAAGTTAGATCAGATGTTGGGAAGTTTTTTACACAGAGGATGGTAGGTAGTGAGGCCCTGGCACTGATTGCCCAGAGACATTGCAGCTGCCCCATCCCTGTAGGTATTCATGGTCAGGTTGAACAGGGCTTGGAGCAGCTGGATCTAGTGAAAGGTGTCCCTGCCCATGGCAGGAGCTTGGAATGAGATGAGCTTTAAGGTTCCTTCCAACCCAAACCAGTAATTCCATGGTATGGGCTGCAGTCGTGCACTCCCAACCATCAGGGACTGATTTTGCAGTTGCTTTAATTTTCATGTCAGAGGGACTTTGGCTGAAGCTGCAAGTGCCTGACTCCATCCCCATCCCAATACCCCAGCCCCTGGAGTAACCCAGGTCTCTTCTGGATGAGCTCCAAGTGTTTTCTTGGCCCTGGGGCAGCCGCCTCCACCTTCAAAGGCTGTTTGGGTTTCCCGGTGCTCGGCTGTTTGTTGGTGTGTTTATTCCCCCGACATCTGAGGGGTCGGAGAGGGCTCCTGCCTGCCAGGGTGTAAACAGCCCTGGCTGCCTTTCCTGCAGACACATCCCACAGATTTCAGTCCAGCCAGGAGGATTTCAGACAGCAGCAGGAACGCGGGCCTCCTTCCTGCCCAGCGCAGCTCAGGTCTGATGCTGCCCCGCTGTCATTATTCCTCTTCAGGAGAGAAACTTCTCTTTAGCCCTAAAAAATCTCAGGCATCCAGGAGCTTGGGTCCTTCACAGTGCACCACACTTCATGATAATGGACTTCTTGTGGATTTTTTTCATCATTAGAGCTGAAAATAGCTAGTCCTGGGTTTAGCTACAGCTCTGTGCAGCCTGGCCAGAGGAGCTCGAGTACCAGCACAGTTGTGAGCACCCCGTTGTGCCCCATCCCTGGAAGTGCTCAGGGCTAGGTGGGATGGGGCTTGGAGCAGCCTGGTCTAGTGGGAGATGTCCCTGCTCATGGCAGGGTGGGTTGGAATGAGATGAGCTTTAAGGTCCCTTCCGACATAAACCATTCTGTAATTCTATGATCTCCATGTGCAGTTTTAGGCTAGAAGCATCTTTTGGCAGGTTTGCAGAACAATCCAAGGTATTTTTGAGCTATTTCCATATGAAAATGTGGGGGTTCCCTTGCTGGGAACAACAAGGAACTTCCTGCATAGTTATTTTACTATCTCAAAAATAATTTCCAGCCGCAGGTCTGATACATGTCTGGTCCCCAGTATGAAACAGCTTTCAAAAAGAATGCAGGACTGAGATTTTGGCTTCTTTAAAACTGATGAGTGTCCTTAAAAGGGTGTGCTGCGGAAGTCAGAGCATTCCTGAAGCACAAAGGCAGGGTAGCTAACTCCTCTCCAGGCTCCAGGAGTCTCCTGTGCTTGGGGCATCACAGATGCCCCAAGGCCCAGGAAGTGACCACAGTGGGTGACCTGGTCCAACCTCCCTGCTCAAGCAGAGTTGTTCCAGAGCACATGGCACAGGATTGCATCCAGACAATCCTGGGATATCTCCAGTGAGGGAGGCTCCACACCCTTTCTGATCAACCTGGTCCAGTGCTTGGTCACTGCACAGTAAGGAAGTTTTCCTTGTATTTATCCTCCTGGTGCAGCTTCTTTTGCACCACACAGAGAATCTGAGCAGGCTTTAATTTTTTTTTTTTTTGGTCACACTGTGCTCTTTTGAGCAACTTCTTCTGTACAATAGCAACATCTGATTTTTCAGCATGCCTCTGCACTTCGCATTGTTACCAGGTCAACTCAGAGCTGCAGCATTAGTCAGTACCAGGGACAGAGGGGTTCAGAACTGGATTCAACCTTTGCAGGAAGGCCCAGGTTCTCTCAAAATAACACCCAAAGCCCACACTGCCCCTCAAGCCTAAGGGACGTGGAGTGTCCACCCAGCCAGGAGCATCAGTGCTCCGAGTCCCGTTAGCAGAGGGTATCTTTAGGAAACACCCCGTGGCTGTGGATGCTTTATAGACTCTTTCTTCCTGATCCCAGGCAGAGCCAGTCTGTCTATCCGCTCCCGTCATGTGGATTTAGACAGCCGTACTCGTCAGCGCTTTCTGCTGGGGCTTCTTTCTCCAGGTGAGTATCAGCTGTGGCAGACAGGGCAGCTCAGCTGGTCGTGCAGCTTGCAGTTTGTGCAGCAGGAGCTTGCAGCAGACCACAGCCACCCAGGGACAGCCACACACCCTCCCCAGGGCAGCCACGGGGACAGAAGGTGCTTTTAGGCAGTGTCTGGTCCAAAGGGTGCTCAGGGGAACATTGAGGATGAAGGATGCACAACGGTTGGGTTTTATTCAGCAGTGCTCTAAAGAGAATAAAAAACTCCAGCCTTCAGCTCAGCATTGGGAAATGGGGTAGAATCCATTGCTCAGGACTTTGCTCCATGTCACTAACCCTGAATGTGTCCCTGCTGCCACCAGCGCTTTGCTCTGCAGAGATGGATCTGGTTTACTTGGTCTTAGTTTTAAAATCAGGACAGGAGGGGGCAGTGATTTGCTGCCCTCCCATCAGAACAAGTCATTTCTGTGAGATACAAACACAGCTTCTGCCTTTGGGTGAACAAAATGCATCACCTATGATGAGCCCAGCTCTTCCAGGTGTGCTGCTGGGCAAAGCCCTCCTGGTTCCATAGGGCCACACCAGCTTCTGCTTCTGCTTCATGTTGTCCTGAAGAGCTGTTAGTGGAGATTTCCCACAGGAAAACCATGCAAACCCTTGCTCAGGCAAGCCCTTAGCCACACAGAAACCTGGATCCATGTAACCCTTAATCCATACAACACTTGATCCATGCAGCCCTTGATCCATGGAGCCCCTTAGCCTTGCTGAAGAGGGGAGGGAGTGTGCGAGCCCTCCTTTCTCACAAGGTATCACCCATGCACAACCTCAAAAGTGAAGGCAAGAGGAGCTAACGGTTCCCTGTGGAGCCCCAGCAGCCTCCCTGAGCTCCTGCCTGCAGGATTTTGGGGTGGATTTTGCAGCAGTGCTGCTGCAGCCGAGAAAGTACACCTGGCCAGATAAGGATCAGACTGTGCTGGTGGATTAAATTAAACAGCTTTTCTTTTCGTGCCAGCATATCTAATGAACAGTTCATCTCCCCTGGGCAATTCTGCCATCTCAAGCTGCAGTCATAAAGTGGCAAGCTTGGCAAAGCTGACTTTGCTGGCTTTATCCTCCAGAACTTGGGAGAGAGCTAATGAAGCCTGAGAGCTAATGAGACCTCTCGTGATCTCAGCCCATGTTGTGGAGAGCATTGCTTAGGCAAGGTGCACCTCCTAGAGTTGCAGCTGGGTTCATGTTCAGACTTAGTCTATTTCTGTTAAAAGAAAGGTGTGGGGTGGTCCTAATCTCTCCCATCCAAACCCAAACTCCCAAAGGAGTTTGTTGTTCCTTTCTGCAGTGCTAATGAGATAGTGCAGCAATAGAGACCTGAGCAGCTGAAACTGCTGGGTGAAAGCACCCTTGATCTCGGCCAGGCTGGCTCCTGCTGCAGGCAGGTTCCCTCGCTGTGGCACTGGATCCTTTCCATCCACATACCCACAGCTTGACCAGCCATGCCACAAGGGCGACCCAGGGCTGGTGGGCACTGCCTGCCCCTGCCAGCCTGGCAGCACCGTGTGCTTTCCATGTCCTCGCTTTCCGTCTGCTTCGCCACGTCAGAGCGCGCTCCGAGGGACAGCTTGGCTGCCTGAGGGATGCCCTGGCACTCTGAGGGATGCCCTGGCACTCCGAGGGATGCCCTGGCTGCCTGGCACTCCAAGGGATGCCCTGGCACTCCGAGGGATGCCCTGGCTGCCTGGCACTCCAAGGGATGTCCTGGCTGCTCGGCCCTCGCTGTGTCCCCACCTGGCACAGCCCTCTGGCACAGCTCACCCCCTCTCTGTTGCAGCCCTCTGGCACAGCTCACCTGCTCTCTGTTGCAGGTTCACTCACCCTCTCATGCTGGGCTCTGGCATGCACACCACCGGCATCCCACACCCCGCCATTGTGCCCCACTCCGGCAAGCAAGAGATGGAGCACTACGACCGAAACATGTGAGTGGGAAGTGCTGCAGCAGCTCCTCAACTCCCATTTCATCTGTCACTCTCAGTGCTCACACAGGGGGAGGATGGATGGATGGATGGATGGATGGACACTGAGCTGTGCATCTGAGGAGCAAATCTCAGCCCCCACCCCGCTCATGATGTTGGGTTGTTTTGGGGTTGAGTCTTCTGCTGGCTCTGATGCTGACAGCTCCTTCTTTTGTTCCACCAAGGAAACCTCAGCCAGAACCAAAGAGAGAGAAGGAAGCCAAGAAGCCCACTATTAAGAAGCCCCTGAACGCTTTCATGTTGTATATGAAAGAAATGCGGGCAAAAGTCATCGCTGAGTGCACCCTGAAGGAGAGTGCTGCCATCAACCAGATCTTGGGCAGGAGGGTAAGAGCTCACGGGGCCAGTAACATCACCTAGTGCCACATCTCTGTCCCTTACAGCTGCTGTTTAAATACATAACAAGCATCTGCTCTTATCCCACGGACACAGGGGCTGGGTATGCCCTGGGGTGGGGTGGCTGTGGTGGGCTGGGCTGGCAGGGGACAGCAGGGCAGGCTGGCAGGGGACAGCAGGGCCATCCTTCAGTGCTGTTTGTCCTTGCAGTGGCACGCGCTGTCCCGGGAGGAACAGGCCAAGTACTACGAACTGGCTCGCAAGGAACGGCAGCTCCACATGCAGCTCTACCCCGGCTGGTCTGCCAGAGACAACTACGTGAGTGCCCCCTGAGTGCCCCCTGAGTGCCCCCGTGCTGGGACCCCCACCATGGGCATGGCCCACAAGGGCCTGGGGGACTGGCTGGTGTTAACCAAACACCTGGTCCTGGAAATGCCATTCCTGGCAGCACAAGAGCCATAGAAATTCACATTTCAGGAGTGTTTTGAACACCTTATTGCCTGTCTAAAGGATGAATGATGTAGCCCCCATCAGCCACAAGCTTTTATTTTCTTATTGTCCAAGCAAATACAAATAGAAAGGAAGAGAAGGTCTTAAGTGCTGTGGGTGTATCTTTGGAAATGTAATTTTTTGGAAGCAAACAGCTCTGTGCATCTTGGACAGCAGCTGAGGTATCTGTGAGGGTGGTGAGGCCCTGGCACAGGTTGCCCACAGAAGCTGTGGGTGCCGCATCCCTGAAAGTGTTCAAGGTGAAGTTGGACAGGGATTGGAGCAACCTGGGATAGTGAAAAGCATCCCTGCTCATGTCAGGGGGTTGGAACAGGATGTTTTTGAGGTTCCTTTCAACCCAAATAATTCTATGAATCTGTGATTTAAAATAGCGGCTCTTTTTGTAGGGGGCCTTTTCTTGTGACTTTCACAACTGTTCTGATATTACGTGCCTAACAAGCTCATCGGTGAACTGAAGCAAAGCACACATAAGTCTTCAGATGAATATCCATCCACACATCTCCATCATTTCCCTCACAGACACTTTCTTACCCCTGGGAACTGCACAGTGAGTGCCCATCCTACCCACACTGACTCCAGCCCTCCTTCCAGAATGACAAAACTCTACCAAGGGCAAGAAAACACCTGTAAACAGACCCAAACCCAAACTCCCCCCAAAAACAGAGGGCAGAGATGATGCAGAAAAAGCAGAGGTGATGGGAAGCCACCAGCCCACATTTTGATGGGCACACATATGGAGAGCATCAGCATTGCTGAGAGCACGGCACCATCTTCCTCCAAGGCCAAGCACATCCTCCATGGAAGTCCCTGTCCTGTATCATCTTCATCTGGTTCCTTGGGGAGCCAAGGGGTGGTTCCTTTGTCCAGAGGACAGATGGTGGGCTCTAAAAGTGCATATTGGTCCTCCCAGCACTGTGAACCAGCTGGTTTGGGTGTTGTTGTTGGAAGAAATGCTTCTCTCTCTGAAGTTGAGCAGGGATGAGGAGGAGGAGGAGGAATGGAGGTCACTGGTGCAGCACGTGATGCAGAAATCAGGCAGGAAATACAGCTGCTCCCCTCTAAAGGAAAAGCTCACCACAGCTCAGAGCTTTCCACCTTCACTCAAACCACAAGAAGTCATACAAAAAGTCACAGGTCAAAGGCAGCCCTGGGAGCTGCCTGTGCCACACAGCCAGATTTGCTTCCGTGCTGCTGTGCCCTCATTAATCAGCTCATTAGGGGACAAGGGGAGATGCTGCATCTTGTGAATCAGAGAGGCAGTTTGGGGATAAAATAGGACTTTTCTATTAGTGGAAGAAGAATAAGAGATGAGTCCAGAACTGCAAAAACACTGAAATAGATTAGTACTATTTAAAAATAAATTTCTGGGGATTTCCTAAAACTTTCTTTCCCATTTGGAACCAGGGAATATCAAGAACCAGTTTCAGTTTGGGTATAAAGCACCACATTAAAGCATGTTTTGGAAATAGGGAAGGTTCTAAAATGGACCAAGTGCTTTTTAGAGACACAAGAATATGACAGGAGCATCAGCTATTGATCATACTCTCTCCATTGCATGCAGCAAATCTTGTTCAATTCCATTGATCTCATTAAACATATTAATTAAATCATCAGTTCATTAACTAAAGCAATAAGGGGTGGGATCCCTAGGTGAGATGCATCAGAGTGGGCTGAAGAGTTCTGGTGGGAGCTGGCAGAGGTGCTGAGCAGCACAGGCACAGGCACTGGCTTTATTACAGCTGGTTTACATCCACTAACATTTCCCCTCACACTTTCTGACACAGCCTGCACCATAGATCTGGGCCCTAACTGTGTTTGCAGCACAGTCCTGGACTCATAAAGCAGAGCATGGAGCAGTGGGTTAGGGAGAAAATGGAGCAGACGTGGGGGTAGGAGTGGGGACATGGCTGCCACCACCTCTTGAGTTTATTACAGTTTCCAAATATGCACAGATCTCACTCAAAGTGCTGAGCCAAAATGCCTGTGGTGCTGGATCTGGGGATACTGGAAATGAGAGTTTAATCCCTGAGAAAAGGCACAAGCCCAGAATGAATTTGTGCTGTGCAGAAGCCATAGCAAGTGCACAAAAACACATTTGGGTTTCACTTTGAGAGTTCCTCTTGAGTTCTTCTTAGGAGAGTTGGAATGGGAAGAGGGGAAAGGAAGGGACACTCTCACAGATAAACCTGAGTAGTCCCTTTGCAGCCTCTTCCAGTTCATCTCCTCCTGGAATGGGCTGAGCCAGCAGCACCATGGTATGGGCTGAGCCATCCCCAGCACCCAGTCCAGCCCCAAAAACCCTGCACAGCACCTTCAGTTTTCTGGAGCACAGGTAACAGCCTGTCCTTTGATTTCCTAGGGGAAGAAGAAGAGACGAACACGGGAAAAGCAGCAAGATTCCAGCTCAGGTAAGTGCCTGCAGCCTGGCAGCTGTTCCTGCTTCCCTGCTCAGATGGGAGAATCCAAAGCAGTTGTTGTGTTTTACCATGTTTTCTTTTATTCTTCAGAGCTTAACTAGAGAAATACACACTCATTTTTTAAGCCATGGTAAATTAACATTTCTGTGACTTTAATAGGCATGTTTGATTTAGAACATGGGTAGCAAGGGAAAACTGAAAAGACTGGATTTTGGCAAATGTATAATAACTTCATGTAAACTATGACTAAACTTTATCTATTGAAAACATCCAAGGTGAATGTCCCCCTCAGACCTACAGATTATATTAACTAAAGAAAACTCCTCTCAGGTGCATCTATATTGTGTGTGGGATGAAATGTAGTGGCAGGACTGAAGATCATTCATGGGACTACTCCAACTTTGGTTGTCATTTCAAAGTAATGTAGAGTTGAAGCAAAGTCATAATAAACCCCACCTCCCTGTATCACCCTTAGGCCAATTAGAAAAGGCCCTTTTGACAGATTTCAGCTGGTCACTGACACATTCCCATCATCCAAGCTATTCATGTGCTGATTTCTGAAGTATTTCTGCCATAGCATGAATAAATATTATCTGTACCAATCAATATTAGTTAAAAAGGGAATCATTATCAAGAGATGTGTCCCAGTAATACCTTCAGCTTAATTAACCCTGTTGATCTCATTCTGTGCCGAGTTTGATAAAAAGAATACAAGGTTTTAGGCCTTTATGTAGAGTGCATTGTATATTTTTATATATCCATATATATGTCTTGTCTGTGTGATACAAAAATTATAATTTCACCTGTTACAGATTGAAAACCAGCTACTGGTTGTACACAACGAGACATTGATGGTGGCTAAAGAGAGGCTGAATCCAGCACAGAAATGTGCTGTTCAATCTCATTCCCAACACCAGAGAAAAACATGATGTGCCTGAAAGCAAACAGGGCTTCACCCTGATGAGTCCTGTAATTATACAGCAAAACAGCAGTGTTTTAGGGAAGGCCGTGGAGAACAGCTTTTCCATTGAAACTGGAAGGGGTGCGATGGGGGCAGAGTGGAATTCCTGGGCCCAGGTCTCCGTGGTGCTAACTCTGCTTTCAGCCTGCTTCTGCAACGTTTCCTCCTCTTCTCTCGGTGCGCAGCCCGGTGGTGTCTGCTGGAAGGGCAGGGAGCCGGCAAGGATGCAGATACAGGAGTCAGGCATTGCCTCCGGATTTGGCAGCTTTTCCAGACTTGAGAAATTGGAAGCTGTGAATTTCCCCGTAATTGCCCACGTTTCTCAAAGCTGTTTCCCAAACCACCTCCAGCTGCCAGCAGTGATCACTGATATTTACCTAACGATCACTTTCTTCCAGGTGGTGCCAGCGCCATTCTGTAGCAGGAAATAATGGGATTGTGGTCTGTTAGTCGTGTGTCACAGTGGCTAAAATGATGTTGCCTCTTTTCTTCCTCGTGCTCCTCCTCCTCTTTGTGCCTCTGCCTTGCCCATTCTCGCCGCGCATGCTTCTGTGTTCAGATCCTGCCTCTCCTAAGAAATGCAGAGCTCGCTTTGGCCTCAACCAACAAACGGACTGGTGCGGCCCGTGCAGGTGTGTATGGCATCTCCTCGCTGCTGGGTGTTCCTGGGACAGGGGTTCAGCTCCACGTGTCCCCCTGCAGCCATCCAGGTGTCCCCTGCAGCCATCCTGGCACCAGCAGGGGCTGCTCTGTCCCGGCAGGGATGAGCTGTGCTTTGGGCATCCTCAGGAGTTTTCTGAGCTGCAAGGACAGGCTGTACTCTGGGGTTTATATCCCTCCCGGGGCAGTGTTGGTTTAGTGCTGTACATATTCCTCAGCTGATAGACTTCCCTGGTCTTAAAATTTATTTCCAGGATGGAGACCTCTGTGATCCTTACATGAGGCTTTTTTTTCAAATCACATTAGTGGCACCCTAGGGCTAGCAAGTGAGGATTTAATGGGGTTTTTTTCCTATTTATACTGGGCTAACCATGTATTTCAAGATCCATCTCTTCCTGAGCCTTAAATTTTGCAGTACCCACCATGGGTGAGTGGGACAGCCTCAAGCAGCAAAACAGAGCCAGTGCTGTGCTCCTCAGGCTCCCAGAGATGGATTCGGTCAAGAAATAGTAAAGTTCACATCAAGGAAGTGCTGCTGGGCTCAGAGGGGCTGCAAAGGCAGGCAGAGAAAGGTCCTGGGAGCTTCTGGATCTGGGTGCCAAAGCACAGGGAGACCCCAGCTTAGACAGACATTGCAATTTGCAGTTTTACACCAATGCATGAGGAAAAAGGTGGCAGTAAAGTACTGCTTGATGTGTTCACTTCAGCTTGAAGTGAATCAAGTCATTTAGTTGACCCATACCTTGCTGCACCCCAAGCTCCAGTCCCTGTGGCTGAGTCCCCTCCTGCACCTCCGCGTGCCACAACAGCAGAGCTCCCTGTTTGCCTTTTATTCCCTGGGTAGTGTCATCAAGCACCATTTTTAATTGATTAACAATCCAGGCAGAGCTCCCTTAGTGTCTCATTAGCACTTGAATGCCAGAGGGGGCTGCTGGAGTGCCCCACGCCCCCTGCAGCTGTGCTGCCAGGCTGAGTGCCTCACTCTGCCACGGACACTCCTTCCACCTTCCTCTGCCTCCATTCCAGCTCTGAGCTCAGCTTCTCCTCTGCACGGCTTCCTGATTAACACAGGCTGCTGGAGTGCCTGGGCACCTTGGCATGCTCTTCTGTGTCCCCGTGTAACCCAGCCCTGGCCAGCCAGAGCTGCTCTGCAATTCTGTACTAACTGTGCTGCTGCCACTGGGGGCTGCTGCCCAGCGGGCTCTGCTCACCCGCGGAGAACAACTTCCCCAGGAGGATTCCCACTCCACGGGAGAGGTTAAACTGGCTAAGACTGGGTGTTCCTGCTCCAGAGCTTTCACACTCCTCCCCCATACCCTGGACAAACACTCCAGGGTGCTGTAGTTTCCAAAGTGAGAGGGATAAACACCTTTAGCTGTGTAACACCCACCTCAGCATAGCCCATGGACTGGGCTGTTATCAGCAGTCTGTAGTATCACATCTGGTGTTTTTCCCCCCCTGTAACTTTAAATCAAATCAATCAATGGGAACATTCCTGTAATCTTAAACAGGTCGTGGAAACACTATCCTGCAGCTGCTCCCAACATGTCTCTGGGAAACACAGCTCTTCCTCAGGCTCGTCTCTGGGGAATTACTGCCCATGGAAAATACCCTCAGGTTAAATAGTTTGTGTTCCCTATCACATTAATTGGGTCAGCAGGGCTAACATGGCACTGACAGCAGTAACAGCACTGCTCTTGTTCACATCCAGTGCAAGTCATGTTTGATGCTGGACTTGTTAATGCTCATCCTCACTGTCTGGTTTTTCATTAGGCAGATCAAGGACAGCTGTGTGCCCACATTAGGGAGTTCTCCTCAGCTGAGAGGCAGGAGCTGGCTGGGAGGTGTTCTTTCACCTGTTCCAGCTGTAAAGGCTCCAGCAGAGGAATTGTCCCTTCAGTACTGTTAAGGTGACATCTTGAGAGCTCTTTTGTTTGAGGATCTATTCTGAGGCGCTCAAGGACCCAAGGCAGGTGACATGAGGGATCTGTCACATGGAGAGAAGGAAAACAGCTCAACAGTGAAGACAAGATAGTGTGAGGGACTGACTCTGGACAGCCAGGGGTGGTTAAAACAATCTGGATGTACAAGGTGACACCTGGAACTCAGGATAAATACTGCCAAAATTGTCACAGGATATGAAGGAATCATGGCCAAACCCAGCTACAGCAAGAATGATGTGTGACTTGTATCTTTGATACCTTCAAATCATAACATACAAACATGTGGGGAACCTGAGTGTTTCTTCCAGGAGGGACTAAAGGAGGCTGGTCCCTGCTCCCTAAGGCAGGTGCTGCTGCCTTAGGGACCTTCCCAGTCCCAGCAGATTTCTTGCTGGGAGAGCAGGGCTGGAGGAGGAGAGCTGCCCCCGATGGGTAAAAACCTTGTCCTGTAAAAACCCCTTTGGGTCAGTAAAGCCATCCCCAGCTGATGAGCTCTGTCACACTCCACAGAATGGAAGCATGGTCCTGAGTCAGCATTGCAGGACCATTCTGCCAATCTCTCTCCCCAGTGTCTGCCCACATTGCATTTTGTACCTGTGCTCCACTTCCCAAGGGAAAGGTCACATCCCAAGGGGAGGTCACAGCCAACACTTCTCCAGGAACCCCATGGGCTGAAATGTCGTTGGTAGCTCTGTCAGGGCTGATTTTCCTTCAGCCCAGTGAGCAGGTGAAAGGTGATCTGCCCTCCAAGGAGCAACAAGTCCTCTGAAGGCCTCAGGACTGTTCCAGTTTTCAAAGCAGGACCTCAGACACCCTCAGACCATCTCCCTCCAGCCAATCCCAGGCCATTTCCTTCCCTGTTCCTGAATGGTAGCTGAGCACATTTCTGCTCAGCTGTATCACTCACTGAGTTGTCCTTGGAGGTGGGGATGAATGGGAAGTACACTCACATGCAGAGATAGAGCAGAAGAGAAGAGCTGAGAGCTAAGGCCAGGTTGGATGGTACTTGAAGCAACCTCTGGTCTAGTGCAAGGTGTCCCTGCCCATGACAGGGAGGCTGAAATGGGATGAGCAGTAAGCTCCCTTCCAACCCAAACCAGTCCATAGTTCTAGGTAGATAATACTGTGCACAAGGCTAGGAAAGTGCTGGGAAATGAACTCTTGGAACCTTCAGATTTTGGGATGAGAAACGCCAAGGCTGGTGTGAAGAGCAGTGTCCCAGCAGAGCACAGCCTGGGGCTGACATGCCCTGTGCACACCAATGTCCCGTGGGCCCTGCGTGGGCTCTGTGGCAGCTGGGGAGGGGATCCATGGTGGGAATACTTTAGTCCTAAACTTGTGAGACCCAGGCACCCACACAGAATCCGAGCTGTTGGGTTGGTGGCTGGTGAGAAATGACCTCATGGGTTGGATTTTTATTATTCTTCCGATTTTTTTTTTTTTTGGGGGGGTGTTTATTATTATTTATATAATTATTTAAAAATTGTATTATTTCACTTTTTTTAAATTTTTCTCCTTTCATGACTTTGATAATTATTAATTTGGGGGGAGCTTTTTTTTTTTCTTTTCTTTTTTTTTTAATCACAATATTTTGGTGTTTACTCCTGTTCCATGCCTTCCTCCTCCTCCTCCTCCTCTCCCTTGGCGGCCGAGCCCCTTCCCGCGGGCCCCGCTCCCGGCCCGCTGGCGCCGCCTGGCGGTGTCCCCGCAGCGCTGCAGCGCCGTCCCGGCCCCGCGGGGATGGGGGACGGCGGCTCCGCGGGGCTGCCGGGACCCTCCCGTTACTCACACAGGCCTCTCTCTGCTGTTCCAGGAGGAAAAAGAAGTGCATTCGGTACCTACAAGGAGAAGGACGCTGTGCCAGCCCAGTTTCTTCCGATGGAAGTGCTATAGACTCCCCTCCATCCCCACCGGACGCACTCCGATGCATCCCCTCCGCCTTCCCGTCAGAGCAGCTCGCAGCCCCCGCCGACCCCGCGCACCGCGACCAGCCCGACCCCTGCCCCGTGTCCGCGCAGCTCCCGCCCGCCTCCGGCCCCTCCAGACCCGGCGCTCCCCGGCGCTCCTCGGCGCCCCCCGCCTACAGCCGCGCCTCCTCGGGGACATAGTCCCTGCCAGCCGCTGGCCACGCCGGGCACTGCGCTCGCCCGCCTGGTTCCGCTGCCCCCGGACGAGGACCAGAGGCACAGCCAAATCCCCATCTCACTGTAAAACATGCAAAGTTTGGCGACAGGATGACTTAAGGATAATGGAAAACTCACTTGGTTGGGGTTTTTTTTGGAGGGGAGGGGTGATAAAGATAGAAAAGCAATTTCAAAAAAAAAAGGTAAAAAATAAGTACTTGCCAAAAGTTAAAGTGCTGATGAGTAAACAAGCCTTTTGTCCCTGCCCTGTGATGCTTTTTTTTGTTTGTTTGGGGTTTTGTTTTGGTTTCTTTTTTACTGCATTATCTCCAAGTGTGGCAGAGAGCAAAGCCACATCCCCAGCTTGCTGCTGTAGGTGGTAGGTGCTGTCAGTCTAACCCTGGCTTCCACTCCCTGCCCTCCGAGCTGCTTCAAAGTGTAGTCACTCACAGATGTCCCATAGCCCTTACACCAAGGAGCTGGAAAAGCTGGAATAGAAGAATTTTTTAAAAGCCCCTGTGTCTGAAAAGGAAACAAACCAATACCAGCATTCTGATCTGACCAGGTAAAAGAGAAATTAAATACTTAAAGAGGTGAATTTTTTGAACTTCTTGTTCGAGAACAGGAAGATGTTGTTTGCAGGTAACAGGGATAAATGTCCCATTCCATGGTTGTACAGCAAGGCAGAGGAAAAGGGAGCACCAGCCAGGCACAGGAGCACAGACCTGCTGCTGGAAAGGCTGACGGTCGCTCAGGGCATCGGGCAGGTGCAGGGTCTGCCCTGCTGTAGGGAATTGTCCTCTGCAGATGTGGACGGTCAGAAATCCCACCAGACAGACTGGCCAAAGCCTCAGAAATCACTCTGTTGCTTTTGTAGGCTCTGATCGAGCTCTGCACCTCCACAGCAGTGAGCAGGGCAGGGCATGTGGGGAGCCAACAGCCCCGGCAGGCTGGCCCAGGGCACAGGATCACACTGGCCCAGGGCACAGAATCACACTGGCCCAGGGCACAGGATCTCAGTGGCCCAGGGCACAGGATCTCACTGGCCAGTGGCACAGGATCTCACTGGCCAGTGGCACAGGATCTCAGTGGCCAGGGTGCAGGATTTCACTGGCCCAGGACCACGCTGGCCCATCAGGTCCTTCAGGGGGAGGTGTGAGCTCTCCTGTGGCAGGGCAGTGTGGCAGCACAGCAGAACTCACTGCCCTGCTCTGTAGGCATCTGTCTGTACATACCCTTGGTGAGATAAGAACCCTCTTTGTCATGATTCAGTGTAGAACTTTTTAAAAAATCCTTATTCTAGCTTTTTCTAAAAGATTCTCCCTCCACCCTGATGATAATGCCAAATGTTCATAAAGCTCTCCAGCTTTAAAGTGTTTACCAGTTTCTGGTATTGTATTTATACTTAGAATTTGATAAACAAAAAACACTGTGGATGGATTATGATCTCCATGAACTGATGTAAATCCCAAATAATTCCAAGTTCTGGATTTACTTCAGGTTTACAGTCTTCTCAGAGACCACAGTCTAGTCCAGTGCAGACTTTTTTTCCTGTTTGAAAGAAATCTATTCCAGACTGCTGAAGAGAAAAATTACACCACACAGAGGTAGAGGGGGCACTATTTTTTTCCTACTTGATAGATGGGTTTTGGAGTACTGAATACAAATTATGTAGTAATATTATTGTAGAACTGCAAGAAATTTAAGATGACCTTTATAATGTACAAACTATTTTTATATTTTTTTCTTAATGCAAAAAACAAACCATAATTTTTTACATTGGATTAAATGTAACTTTTTAACCAAGTTTATGCCTCAAAGATTTAAAAATTAAAAAAAAAAAATAGCCAAACCTAACTAGTCTGTAGAGCAGCTTTGGGTTTAGTCCCTTTATTTAGATAGTTTTGCTTCTAGTAGTGTAGATTTTTTATTTCTGGTTTTAGTTTTGAAGATGTAAACCTATTTCTTTATTCCTCTCCTGTATAAATGTAACTTCAGAAGCACTGACAGAAAGCTATGTGCACAAGCCTGACAAGTTTGCAAAGAGTCGTTTTGAAGTTTGAATCATTTTAACCCTTGGAGAAGTAGCATGACCTGATCCAATGCCAACTGTACACTTTTGTACTGACTGCACTCAGAGGGTTAATTTCATAGCACTAGATCAATATGCAATCTGCTCATTTTAAATTATTTTAGCAAGCGTAGCCAACAGCATGTTCCAGTGCTGAACAGAGGAACTCAGTAGACTTGCCAGACCTGATATGGTCTTTTTAATCATATGATTTTCAAACAAAAAAAACAGCTTTTAAAATGGTTGTGTCTCAGCTGATCATTTGTCACTCTGAGACCCTCTGCTGTAAGGTGCTGTAAGTGTCACCTCCTGGAAACACCAGAGATGACAGACCAGCCACCACAGCCTGGTGTACCCCATCCTGGGTGCAAGGCTGGTGCAACTCAACACCCAACTGCTATTGCATGGTTGGATGACAGATGGAACTTAGCAGCAAAGCAAAGGCAGGTAGAAAAGAAAAAGCAGATGTATCTAAATAACACCAGAGGAAATTTCAGGGCAAGTCCTATCAGTATTAAACTGGCCGAGGCACCCAGAGCAGCCCTCGTTCATTTCACCCCCTGGGACTTTCACCCCTTATTTCAAGGCTCCTCTGGCCCCTCCATGGAGTCCCTGCCTGGACCAGCAAAAGGCTCATCTGCATTACAGCCTCCTCTCACCACTGTAATTCCACTGATTCCTGCCAAAGCTCCTTAGTGACACCAACATCCCCTCTCCAGGAGCCCTTGCATGTGCCCTCGTGGCACAGCAGCATTGTCAGAGCCCCAGAGCTGGAGCAGTCACAGCCACAGCGTTGTGTGCTCTGCTCTATACATACAGGCCAGACCTTACCCTGTGCTTCCAGCTGCTGCAGGATAAACTCAGAATACCCACTTGTGATCTACTGCACCCAGTTTATACTGGGGAAACTGAGAAAATGTCATTATTTTTATTCCAAAACACAGAAAAGTTACTGTTTGGCCTTTCCAAGATAAAATAGCATGACTGACTTCTGTTCCACGGCCCCATGGCTGATAACCAATGCCAAAACAAAGTTATTAATACCAAAAAGAGTGTCTTTCAAACTGCCATATGAAGTGTTGCTATTTTGTGTTAATACTCTTTTTTAATAAAAGGAAGACTTTGCCCTGAAGTTTTTATCTCAACAAGAATTTTCTTTTAGTTATTTTACAGCAGTTATAACTCTTCCTGAAATACGTATTTGAATTCCTGGAATCAGTCTGAATGTAGAAGTCATGGAAGTACCACTTCATTAAATCAAGTAAAACCACTGTATGTATGTAGCAGGGATAAATGTTTTGCAGCTGTACCTTCATTTGTCCAATGACTATCCATCATTTGTTGTAATTTTTTTACTTCACTGAGTTTGTATTTTTTGGCTTTTATGTTCAAAGTATGTTTATAGCTTTATAAATAAAGTAATTGCCAGACTGGCTGTTCAAAAGAGGCCACTGGAAGTTATAATGCTATCAAACTCTCAAGTAACTATTTCTCAGCATTCAAGAGGATTCCTGCTTGCTTTTGTTTTTTCCCTTCAGCATTTGTATGTTTGAACAGTTTTTAGAATAACTGCCAATAACCTTCAATGGGTAAGACTGAAATACTAAGCCAAGGGCACAAAGACAATACTTTTTTCCTACAATTCCTACTGACACCCAGCCTTGCCTCTCCCTAGCCCCACACTCAATCCCTTTATCCAAGAAAAGCCTGATCCCTGATCACGCACTGACTTTAAAAAAAAAAGTTAGGGGAAAAAAAAAAACAGCTTTAATACAAGTTAAACAGCAACAGAAAGTTTAACAGTGGGAAATCAGTCTCAGAGTACACAGCCAGGGCCTGTTAGAGCAGCAAGGAGCAGGCTCAGCTGAAGCATGGAACACAGGCAGCAGCAGGCACAGGACAGCCCAAACTCCCAGCACCTCCCCAGTGTCCTCCTCTACAGCTGAGCACAAGTATTACTGGAGTGGGTAAGACAACTGAGAGATTCAAAAACCAGGCTTTTCCTGCTGACATCCCTGCCAGGCAGCTACAGAATTTGAATCTGGCTGAAGTCTGAGTCAGTACTGCAGGGGAATTTCAATTAGAGAATGTGAGTTTTATGCAATCCTAACTACCAAGACTAGTGAGAGTATTACAGATCTGACAGAGCCACACAATGCCTTGAGCACCCAGAGCAGCCCTCCCTACACCTCCACAGGTACCTCAGTGCCAACAGCCAAGTGTCACAACCTGGGGCTCCAGCACTGCACATCTGCCCAGCACAGCTCAGATTTGGGCCAGCTGCTCTCACAACTACCAAGTTTAATCCCAGGTGTGGTTATGCAGGCACAGCACAGCTGGAGCAGTGCAATGAGGAAGACAAACTGTGTCTTTGTCCCTCCCTCACCCTGAAGCAGCATGAGGCATCCTGCAAGGCTGACAAACATTGACACTGGGCTCGTGACAAGCACCCAAAGGAATTTACACAGGCTGCTGCCACCAAACACACCAGGCTTCTGAATGTTAACTACAAACATAGCCACAGAAAGGACATCACATTTTCCTCTAGTAGCACTTTTAAACTGAGGTGCATTGTTTGCAATACAGGCTGCTGGAAAGGCTTCAGCATGTCCAAGTGCAGCAGTGCAGTATTTTATGCCCACTAACAATGTCTAATACACCCAATATAATGCACAGCAACACAAAAGCAGACCCCACAACCTCCTGAGAAACCAGAAGTGAGGAGCAGTTCTACCCAAGGCATGGGTCTGAATGCTGCTTTAGAGCAAATTCTGAATGCTTTCATAATGGTTACATCCAAAATGTAGGCAATCCTGGTAAGCCATCAAAAGTATTTCTCTGGATATTTAACCATCACCCAACTTCATCTCAAAGTTGCCCACTGTGTCTGACCCTGCATTAGTCCCTTAAAAACTTTACATCTGTTTTATTTCAATTAACCACTGCCTCATTGCTATTATTTCTACACTCAGTGTTAAGTGACAGTAAAACTGTCTAGTTCCAAATAACTAGAACCATTTGCAAACAAAAGTTTAAAAGCCCTTTATTAATTCAGAAGTGAAACACCAATATTTCAAGTGAGATAAGTATGTTTATTAAGGTTCATTCTACTCTAAGGTTTATACAGAGAATGGAATGCAATACAAGCTAAGAGCACACCTCAAAGATCTACCACACAACCATCCCCTACTCCCTATAAGGGAACTGTAAAAAAAAAAAAAAAAATCAGAAAACCAGTTACTGTTCAACTAGTTGCAAGTGGCTTTGTCCAAAGAAATTAAGCTTGATATTGCATTAGCTTTGTATGCAATAATTAAGTCTCTACAAGCTGAAGTATCACATACAGAGGCAAAAGATTTCCTGTGGACACATGAAACCATGTTTCCAAGAGCTACATCACAAGGGTCTTTAAAACTGCCTAAAAACCAGCCACTAATGGCATGCACAGGTCAATAATATTAACTTTGGTAATGTCAGTCATTTTTGGTCAAATCTGGATTCCACTTTAAACAGTAATATGTATAAAAACACACCCATCCTGTGCATAAAGCAACACACTTTATTTGCTATCACCTAGAGGCAGGTCTTCAAGACATGGCTGAAGTATTCAAATTTAACTGTCAGGAGCTTGTTTAGTTCTAAACCACATTTTCACTAGTCTATAAGGCAAGACTAAAATGACAAGAAAGTGGTCAAATATTTAATTTTTTTTAAATGCAGGACAAGAACCATCTTGAAAATTATATAGCTTTAAGTAACACTTAACTTTTTCCACAATGCTTTTGTAAGAAATCCAGTAACTTTTTTATATTATCTAGTTCCCCAAGACACATTCTAGTTTGTTTTTCTTTCTGAAGTTATCAATACCCTGTAAATACATGTGTTCTGC